TTATTTTTATAACATACAAACAATGGATGATGTAATTTAATAATACGATATTTACGTCTGTATATATTTTTTATTTTAAATTTATTTAAAATAAAATAAAATTTAACTTTTTCATTTTACTGATAATAAATATTATTTATCTAAATGTTATTTAAATATATTTAGTGTATATTGAAGAATAGTTCATTATACATCAAAACAGCCAAGCAATTTTATTGCTAATGAAAGCATCTCATATAAAATGCAAATTGTACTTATTTATTTTACGAATTGAATAAATTTTTTAGTTAGATTCAATGTAAAATATATATATAACTGTATGTGTGCATAGTTGTCGTACATATGTATGTGTGCATAGAATTTTTTTGTTTAGTCATTGAAGTCATTGTAACAGTCAGTGTAATTTTCTCGGTCTCTCTCTTTTAAATAATTCTCTCCTTTTTTTGTTCATACTTGCAATTCATACATATTCATACCCAATGTTAATAGAATGTCCCCTTCTCCGTGTCTTTTATATGCTTTTATACACGCGCATTTTCTTATTTCAGTTGAAGTGCGATTGTAGGCGCATTTACTACGATCGTCTTGCGTGTGTCATACCTCCGAGTTATAAAGACTCCGACGATTTTTCATCGATTCTTACACGACTGCGCCTTGACGAACAGCAGCATTCTAGGAAAAGCATTCCCTACGCGTTATAAAAACTAGACCAGAGAAAGTCGAATAATTTACCGGTTGATTGATTAAACGGTGATCAAGTATCTCGTTGTTGTTTGTTGTTTGGAAATTGTGAATTTTTATTTATTGATTTCGCAAACGTATTTAGTGATACGCAAACATATTGGATAAATTGAGGAATATCTCTCGAATCCAAAATCACCGGTGAGATGGCACGAAAAAACAAAGATTATATCGAAGATATGTTGGATATATCGGAACATTTGGACACTAGCGATTACCGAAACGAAATACCTGAATTCTACGCTGGATGCAACGTCTTAATAACGGGTAGTTCCGGTTTTCTCGGCATACTTTTAATAGAAAAATTGTTAAGGTAAAAATATTTTTCAATTATCAGTTATTTTTTATTTTATTTTAATTATTTTTTATTAAAAAGTTTTAATACTATGTAAACAATGTAAATAATTCATTAAAACACATAAATCTAATCAAATGATTTTTAACAATAATTTATGACATTTTGGCAATTTTTTAATAAGTAGATTAAAAGAAAATCATAAAAATTTACACATAAAATGTCAAGTCATATTTTTAGATAGAATTACAAATGAATCGGTATTAATAAATATTTATCGTGAATTTTATTAAAGAGAAATAACATTTTTAGATGCTGTCCGGATATGAAAAAGCTATACTTATTCATGAGGGCAAAAAAAGAAAAGACGCCTGAACAACGTTTTAAAGAGCATTTTAATAACTGTGTTAGTACATAATATAAATATAAAAAATAATATATATAGAATATAAATAATAAAAATGTTATATAAAAGAGGATGAACATGCACGTATTAAAATAAAAAAGGACTTTTTTAAAAAATTTATGTTTTTAGATTTATGACAGATTGAAAAAAGAGCAATCTAACTTTAGTACCAAAATAGCAATGATAGAGGCTGATGTAAGTAAATTGGATCTTGGATTATCGCAGAAAAATCGAGAACTTCTCTTAAACACTAACATAATTTTCCACGCGGCGGCGACTGTACGTTTTAATGAAACATTACGAGTCGCCACGAACATAAATATAAGAGGTACAAAGCAGCTTCTTCTTTTTGCGAAAGAAATGCCAAATTTAAAGGTATAAAAAAAAGGATCATTTCAATCAGATTTAAAATTTCATAATTGAAAAAATTCAACTAACTAATTTTTAATTTTTAGGCATTTGTCTATGTATCTACTGCGTTTTCTAATTGTATACATAATTTCATTGAGGAAAAATATTACCCTCCGCCTATAAAAACGGATCAACTTTTAACTTTACTCGATATCATGGATGACGAAAAGTTAAATAAATTTGCGCCGATGTAAGTGTCTTTTCATAAAAATTGCAAAAGCGGAAATAGGATATTCATTTCATTTTATGTAGTATGAAAACTTCATGCTTTAATTTTCACATTTCCTGCCAATAATAATTTTTAACCTCTCATATCATCTTTTACATATACATATTTTGGACATCTACAGATTAATAGATAAATGGCCGAATACATATGTATTTACAAAGGCAATCGCTGAAGACACAGTACGGCAATACAGTGTCGGAATTCCGACCTGTATCGTACGACCATCGATTATAACAACGACGGCTGAAGAGCCAGTGAGTGGATGGATCAACAACGTATATGGTGCAGTAGGTGTAGTTATGGGTAGTGCCATAGGTTTATTACGTAGTTTGCACTGTGATCCTGATATTGTAGCAGAGATAGTACCTGCCGATTATGTCATTTCGCATCTCATCGCTGCAAGCTGGGACACTGGTAAAAGGAAGTAAGCTCAAAAATATTTCAAAAATAGATTTATATTAAATATTTAATATATCAGGCTCAGTCTTTTAAATAATTACAATATTTTAAACTTTCAAGCGATTAGGCAAGTTTTACTACAATTTTAATATTATAAATAAATAAAGATAATTATTAACAAATAAATTCGCACATACTGTATTGTTATTATTGTTATTATATATTGTTATTTTATATATATATAAAAAAATTAAATATATATATATTCTTCTTTTCTAGAGGAAAAACCACAGTAGTAGATTTATAAATAAATTAGCAGTTATTATGTTTTTCCACATCATCAATATTTGTCGTCATCAATCATATACATATATATAAAAACAATATAATAACAGAATTTATATGACATAGTAAAACTCTCAGAATTGTAAAAAAAACCATAAGTGCTGATCTATTTATTTCTACTAATGTGGTCTACTAATATGTTTTTCCTTCATAAATATTTATTCTGAAATTTTTATTCTAATATAAATTTGTTTATCAACTTCTAATATCATGTAATACAAATCCTGTTTATCAACGTCTTGCATGTAAATTATAATAATTGTTATAAATTATGATAAATTTTAAATTTTTATTTTCTGCTTGTACTTTTTAATTATTGTTTATAAAAAGTTAATGTTAATTAATGATGGATGTTCGTATTCATTTTTTAAAAATAAATAAACAATGAATAAAAATGAATAAATTTAAAAAGACACATTAAACAAGATACATACATTAATGTAAAAAATGATATAAATAACATATATTATTATTTTCATCAAGAAAATTAAATAAAAATAAGATCTATTCTTAGCAAATAAAATTATTTGTATACTTATCAATTTGATAATTATACATATTAAAAGTAAAATAATTTTTAACATTTGTCAAAACATTACATTTGTCAAAATATATATAACTTTCTTGGTAACAATTAAGGTGCTGAGTAATTAATAAGCAATTGTTATATAAAAAAAATAGAATATTGAAGTTTCTACAGAGATTTATACAAATTTATAGAATTTATTTTTTATAATCTGTTCATCTTTTGTAGTTTAATTTTTATTAATACTTTATTGAATAATAAAATAACATTGAAGTATTTGGCATAAGGCATAATTATATTACTTACAAGTATATTTTTAGGAATAATCTATTGAGCATCGAGAATATAGATCCGGACATTCCTGAAACTGAGAGAACTCCAATTTATAACTATGTGTCGATATGTGAAAATCCTATCACCTGGAGAAGGTTTATGAAATTGAATGAATTTTATGGCATGCAGGTGCCGAGTACACGCATTCTCTGGTACTATATGTTTTATTTAAACAAACACAAATTAATGCACGATATATATGTGTTATTTCTGCACATGATACCTGCTGTCATAGTTGATACTATATTCCTTCTTAGCGGTCGAAAACCTATGTAAGCAATTTATCAAGTTTATTTAAAAGCAATTAAAGATAATTAAACATTATCGCACTTATTGGTACAATAAATAACGGAATTGCAAATTTTCAGGCTATATAAAACTTATCAGAAGATAAATAAATTTACTTCTGTATTATCATACTTTTCAACAAAACAGTGGCGCTTCAACAATGACGCCGTTATAGGACTTTGGAATCGTGTGAATCCGGCCGATCGTCAGATTTTCAATTTCGATATAAATAACTTGGATTGGGAAACATATATCAAAGAAATGATACCTGGCATGCGTCTATATTTAGGTAATGATCCGATAGACACTGTAGAAAAAGGACGAGCAAAATACAGGAAGTGAGTAATACTTCTACATATACATCTTTATTACCTTTGGCCTCGTCTTATATGTAATGACTTTTCAATGACCTTTTTCTTTGTTTTTCAGATTAAAGATCGCTCATTATACTATATTAACAATTATCGGTGTTTTATTAATATGGGGCTTTATAAGTTTGATAAATTGTATAATGTCATTCTTTTAATTTTGTAAAATTTTGTTACTTGTTAAACAATTTTTTCTAGTTAATGGAAATAAATTACAGCAATAAATAAAGAACTAATGTATTAATAGCAAAAATAAGTAATAATAACCAAGCAATAGCAATAAGCAATAATAAGTATTATTTTCACCTGTCGCCTTTTACATTCACCAATTGCAATCTTATAAAATTAATACATGCATAGCTCTTTTTTCACTCGTGTATAAATGCGTAATCGCTAATTATTTAAAAGGAAACGTCCTTCATGTTATTTTCCGTCACAAGAGATACGGAATTACTACATATATTTCCTTAATTCCTACCATTAGAATTACCACATGTATTTTCTTAATCGGAAAAGTTTTTTAATATGTATAACGTACGCGTGTTGTGAAATTAATACACTGAAAAGGTTATTATGTCATAGAATGTTATAATGTTGTAATATTTTTAATAATTAATATTTTTATAATTATAACTATTTTTTAGTATTGTACTTAATAATAAACACTATAGATTTATTTGATTTTATTTTTACTTAATTTATTGTTTTATTCAATATATTTATAATATTATTACATATTATATATAGATAATAAAAATAAAGAAAAAGAAAAAAAAGCCATATAATATTTTTTGTTTTCTTTATTAAGTTATTACATTTATGTTTTGCATATATGTTTCAATATATATAAATATGTTATATATTGTATTATATTATATTATATTACAAAATATTAAGAATATTTTATTACAAATAAATTGCATATTATATTAAAATTAAAAACTTTTAATAATTATATTGTTTAATAATAAAGTTTAATAATAATTGACTTTCGCTTTTTGAAAGAATTCTTCGTTTATACATACATGTAATGTTTGATCTATATAATGTTGTTTGACTTACCCCACAATAAATTATATAAACAAAAGAATTGATACACATCGGGTCATCGTCAATTGACGTCGCATGAAAATAGATGCATTGATATTGTATCGGTGTTTGTAATATTTTACAGAAGTATAATAAAAAACTCATGTTATAATGCATACATCTAGAAAACTATTAGCAATCAATCATGTCGTATAATATTTATGCATATATACATATATATATGTATAAAATGTTATATATTTATGAAGGAAATTCCAATTAATGGTTTT